TTTACTGGTCTCTCTCTCTGGTCTCTCACTAGCCTGCCTCTGGTGTTTTACTGGTCTCTCTCTCTGGTCTCTCACTAGCCTGCCTCTGGTGTTTTACTGGTCTCTCTCTCTGGTCTCTCACTAGCCTGCCTCTGGTGTTTTACTGGTCTCTCTCTGGTCTCTCACTAGCCTGCCTCTGGTGTTTTACTGGTCTCTCTCTCTGGTCTCTCACTAGCCTGCCTCTGGTGTTTTACTGGTCTCTCTCTCTGGTCTCTCACTAGCCTGCCTCTGGTGTTTTACTGGTCTCTCTCTCTGGTCTCTCACTAGCCTGCCTCTGGTGTTTTACTGGTCTCTCTCTCTGGTCTCTCACTAGCCTGCCTCTGGTGTTTTACTGGTCTCTCACTAGCCTGCCTCTGGTGTTTTACTGGTCTCTCTCTCTGGTCTCTCACTAGCCTGCCTCTGGTGTTTTACTGGTCTCTCTCTCTGGTCTCTCACTAGCCTGCCTCTGGTGTTTTACTGGTCTCTCTCTGGTCTCTCACTAGCCTGCCTCTGGTGTTTTACTGGTCTCTCTCTCTCTGGTCTCTCACTAGCCTGCCTCTGGTGTTTTACTGGTCTCTCTCTGGTCTCTCACTAGCCTGCCTCTGGTGTTTTACTGGTCTCTCTCTCTGGTCTCTCACTAGCCTGCCTCTGGTGTTTTACTGGTCTCTCTCTCTGGTCTCTCACTAGCCTGCCTCTGGTGTTTTACCGGTCTCTCTCTCTGGTCTCTCACTAGCCTGCCTCTGGTGTTTTACTGGTCTCTCTCTCTGGTCTCTCACTAGCCTGCCTCTGGTGTTTTACTGGTCTCTCTCTCTGGTCTCTCACTAGCCTGCCTCTGGTGTTTTACTGGTCTCTCTCTGGTCTCTCACTAGCCTGCCTCTGGTGTTTTACTGGTCTCTCTCTGGTCTCTCACTAGCCTGCCTCTGGTGTTTTACTGGTCTCTCTCTCTGGTCTCTCACTAGCCTGCCTCTGGTGTTTTACTGGTCTCTCTCTGGTCTCTCACTAGCCTGCCTCTGGTGTTTTACTGGTCTCTCTCTCTCTGGTCTCTCACTAGCCTGCCTCTGGTGTTTTACTGGTCTCTCTCTGGTCTCTCACTAGCCTGCCTCTGGTGTTTTACTGGTCTCTCTCTCTGGTCTCTCACTAGCCTGCCTCTGGTGTTTTACTGGTCTCTCTCTCTGGTCTCTCACTAGCCTGCCTCTGGTGTTTTACTGGTCTCTCTCTCTCTGGTCTCTCACTAGCCTGCCTCTGGTGTTTTACTGGTCTCTCTCTCTGGTCTCTCACTAGCCTGCCTCTGGTGTTTTACTGGTCTCTCTCTCTCTGGTCTCTCACTAGCCTGCCTCTGGTGTTTTACTGGTCTCTCTCTCTGGTGTCTTCTCCCACTTTTATAGATGAGAGACAGCTTCCCCTCAACTATGAGAGACAAAATAAGGAAGAAAAGTCCAGAAAATTCCCTCTGATTTTGACAGAATTTATTTGCAAATGATGGTGGAAAAGGGTGGAGGCTCTCTCTCAGACCAGCAACTCCTCGGTCCTCCACCTGGTACCTCCACCTGGTACTGTATAATGGCACAGGTTTTATCTTTGTCAGTGGGAGGACATGGAAGTTGGTGAATGACCTAAAACTATTCTCCCTCACTGTACGGGACGGAGCTCACCGATTGGTTCTGATAGAGATCGTGAATCCAAAGTGAGTCATCTGTCAGTCTGTAGAACGAGTCTGGTCGTGGTGTGTTCGCTGTGATAAGAGGAATGAGGAATATCCTGCATCAGCACAAAAGAAACCATTCACAAAGTCGCAGTGGGAGGAACAGGAAGCACACTCTTTAAGCTTTTTGTCACGTCGTTTATTGTGTCAAAGTTAAATGTTGTGAACGAATCAGACCCCAACGTGAGCCCTGTCAGTCACTGTTTGACTCTTTGGGCTGAGAGCTGATTGGCTGAGTGAGGGCGGTCCAATGTTTTTAACCTTTCTGTCTGAAAAAAGTTGATTTAAAGAAGTGAGAGAGAGAAAACTTAGTGAAAGTGAATGGTCTTGAGAAAGAGGAAGGTTGCTACTATGGACAGGTTCTTTGTGGCTTCGCTGTTTGGGCAATTTTTGTGTTTTTTTTACAGTGTGCAGAGGTCATGTGTGTACTCCAACATCACATAACCGCTAGTATAGCAAAAATAGTATAGCTAAAGTTTGATGACCAGCCCAGAGTCATTTAGAGATTTCATGACACTTTGAAGCAACAGTGGTTAAAGTTCTAACTCATCATTCTAACAATATGCACGAGGCAGTACTTTTCCTCTGCATGTTTTCATTTCTGAAGGCCAAGCTCCTGCATCGCGGTGAAAGCTGATTGGACGGTGTTCATTCCTCCGCTGTATATTATCACTTGCTAAAATCTGGAACAGTCTTCCTGAAGATGTGAGACAGGCCTCCTCTCTGACAATGTTTAAAACCAGGTTAAAGACAGTTCTGTTTAGCTGTGCTACAACTGAGGGATTTTCTATTTGTATCTTTCTTTTTAATGTTCTGTGATTATTTATGATTTTAATGCTTTCTTGTTTTGTTCAGCACTTTGAATTGCCTTGTGTATGAATTGTGCTATATAAATAAACTTGCCTTGCCACTTGCAGTCTGTAACATCTGTGTTTGTGTTCGTGCCGTCTCTACCATTGACAATAAAACATGTCTTCAGTCTGAATTAAAGACACGATCCCAGACTTTGTCCATATTCTTCTGTCATTTGGTCTACTTTTAGTAAGCGCAAGGGTTCAAGTCTCTCTCTGGCCTCTTGTTTGTTTTTGTGTTATATGGACTCTTTATGTCTGAATTAAAAGAGCAGTTTGTAAACATGTGTAAAAAAGTGGTACTGCAGCCTCTCCCACTCTCCCTGACTCAGGTTGCCAGATATGCAGACGAATCCAGCTGGGACCATAACAGCTGAATAGACAAGAGTTATGTCAACAACAAATCTATAACCAACACCTTTTTCACAAAGATAGAAATCCTGGTTTTATTCCTTTTTTTGTCGTTAATGATTTGAGAATCATAACGAGACCTTTTCTAGTTCTGCACCACCTGATTAGCTTGACGCGGTGAGTTCTGGCGCCTGGATCACGGACTTTCTGATTGAAACGGTGGAGGGCGGGACATTGAAATGAAAACAAAAACAAGATTTAGGGGCTGGAAAACTAATTTTTAAATTCATAAATCTTGGCTGAACTGTTATCGGTTAAAGAAGTATTGGAAAAGAGCAGGTTTTATTAATGCCTTTTGACAGATTAGGGCCCTTTAATGATGACTTCCCATGAAAATCTTACATATTGCTAATTTAACGATTAAATAGATAATAAAACAAGTCCACCCGTGTCGCTCTGCTGTTCACATAAACACAACGCAGCAGGAATGTGTGCTACGTCTGCCAGTCATCAGGTCTGGAGCTGACCGAGTCACATGCAAAGGACTTTCATAACTAATATCGGTTTTACCATCAACCACACACAGAAAACACACAGAAGCCTTTTGTATTTCCATTTTGGGCTTTGGACCCTTTTTATTGAAACGTAATGATTGAACCCCACAGAGAGAGAGAGTGAGTGCACATGCAGATGATCTTATGAAACTACTGTCAAAGTGTAGAGCGTTTGGCGATCCACGTGTCGTAAAGAAACAGACTCGGACACTGCCCAAACACTCAGATTACGCTGAATTAAACATGAAACTGTAGCAAATTTATCAAAAAGTTGTAAAAAATATATAAATAAAATCAGCATAAGACACAAAAACATACGAAAGCTTTTGACAGTAAACGTTTTTTTCCAAGAGATTTTCATATTTCTGGTTCTATAACGTGGTCTTTGATGCCACCTCTGGGTTTCCTCCAGACTTCTACCAACTGCTACTTCCCACAGATCCTTCGTGACTAAGTCTAAATTATACATACGCAAAATGATACACACAAACCGGGCACAGAGTAAGTCACATACAGCATTAAAATGAGAGAGAGATGGACAGTTGGTTTGTCCCTGAGAGGTGGAGGTAGCAGAGTCCAAACGTCGGGGATATGGCTTTATAGTGGCACAGAATCTAAACTGGCACCGTTTCAATTCATTTTAAGTTTCATCAATGTGTTTTTTGCCAAGTTAGACACATGAAGCGTTCTTATAGAGCCGTCGATCCCATGTCAGAAAAGTAACGGAAACAGATTTGGCTCAAATGCTGTATGTGGAAAGAAATGAGCGTAGACATTTACCCAAACGCCAGGATCAGAAATGTCCTAATGTTTATTGGTAGCTGCGGTGCTCACATTTATACAACGACATATGACATCATACAACAGAGTTTTGTAAACACAAAAATGGCAAAGTGCAAAGAAAATAATTCGCAATTGGGGTTGGAGACCGGACCTCTGTAACAAAACATCGTCAAGCAATATTTGTGATTCAATACCGATGTAATTAATGTTTTAACCATAGACTGTATATAGTTGGACAATGCTAACATGCTAGCTTAATGACGCCCAATAGGAAAGTGCTTTGAATTTTACATTGTGATATTGTCTTTGTAAATCCAGATATGAGCCGCCAGCTTGCCTTAGCGCAACGCCGCGGCTAACAAGCTAACGCGGCTAACAAGCTAACGCGGCAGAAGAAATACCCATATAGGGAAAATGGCTCCAGCTAGCTTCTCTCGCATTAAGGCCAATATTATTAGTTAGTCCACTCCTAATATACAGTGTGTGGTTTTAACAGCAGTGGGATCAGCTCGAGTGTGACACACGCAGACAAAGCCATTTATAGACGCCATTTTGAGAAATTTTGAATACGATTTTATACGCAAAATAATGTACTACAGAGCCATGACCCTGCCAGCTTCACTTTCATTCATGTTATGCCATTGAACGACGAGTAAAAGTCAAACTGGCCAAACCTGAAAGGCGACAGTGGAGTATATTTGGCTCCAGCCTGTTTTACTACTGTGACAAAGAGTTACACCTTTATGCCACGCGAACACTCAAGTCACGATAGAAATCAGCGTCGCAGTTCTTCCTACGGCGACAGGGACGGAGCACTGGAAATATGTGGCACATGTCGAACAGAAAGGCAGAACTCAATGTGATAACCCTGGGATGTTTTTAGAGGAGATGCCCAACTGTGATTTATCTGTTTATGGAGACAGCAATAGACTAAAGCTAATGTGCTGGTTTGGAGTAAGCACACCAGCGGTAAAAAGACTAAAAACATTTAGTACCTCCATGTCCACTGCCACATACTGCAGCCCACATGTAGATGCCACTTACTGCAACCTTATGTACAGATGCCACATTCTGCAGCCCCATGTAGATGCAAAATACTGCACCTCCATATACACTGCCACATTCTGCAGCCCCATGAACAGCTGCCACATACTGCACCTCCATATCCTGCAGCCCCATGCACAGCTGCCACATACTGCACCTCCATATCCTGCAGCCCCATGAACAGCTGCCACATACTGCACCTCCATATCCTCCTGCAGCCCCATGCACAGCTGCCACATACTGCACCTCCATATCCTGCAGCCCCATGAACAGCTGCCACATACTGCACCTCCATCCATATCCTGCAGCAGCCCCATGAACAGCTGCCACATACTGCACCTCCATATCCTGCAGCCCCATGAACAGCTGCCACATACTGCACCTCCATATCCTGCAGCCCCATGAACAGCTGCCACATACTGCACCTCCATATCCTGCAGCCCCATGAACAGCTGCCACATACTGCACCTCCATATCCTGCAGCCCCATGAACAGCTGCCACATACTGCACCTCCATATCCTGCAGCCCCATGAACAGCTGCCACATACTGCACCTCCATATCCTGCAGCCCCATGAACAGCTGCCACATACTGCACCTCCATATCCTGCAGCCCCATGAACAGCTGCCACATACTGCACCTACCACTCCATATCCTGCAGCCCCATGAACAGCTGCCACATACTGCACCTCCATATCCTGCACGCCACATGACACTGCCCATACTGCACCTCCATATCCTGCAGCCCCATGACAGCTGCCACATACTGCACCTCCATATCCTGCAGCCCCATGAACAGCTGCCACATACTGCCCCCACCTGCACCCATATCCTGCAGCCCCATGAACAGCTGCCACATACTGCACTCCATACTGCAGCCCACAGCTCCATATGCACCTCCTGCAGCCCCATGAACAGCTGCCACCTCCATACTGCACCTCCATATCCTCCAGCAGCCCATGAACAGCTGCCACATACTGCACCTCCATACTGCAGCACAGCTGCCACATACTGCACCTCCATATCCTGCAGCCCCATGACATGCCACATAACCTCCATAGCCCATGACAGCTGCCACATACTGCACCTCCATATCCTGCAGCCCCATGAACAGCTGCCACATACTGCACCTCCATATCCTGCAGCCCCATGAACAGCTGCCATACTGCACCTCCATATCCTGCAGCCCCATGACAGCTGCCACATACTGCACCTCCATATCCTGCAGCCCCATGACAGCTGCCACATACGATGCAGCCCATGACAGCTGCCACATACTGCACCTCCATATCCTGCAGCCCCATGCACAGCTGCCACATACTGCACCTCCATATCCTGCAGCCCCATGCACACGCTGCCACCCATGACAGCTGCCACATACTGCACCTCCATATCCTGCAGCCCCATGCACAGCTGCCACATACTGCACCTCCATATCCTGCAGCCCCATGCACAGCTGCCACATACTGCACCTCCATATCCTGCAGCCCCATGCACAGCTGCCACATACTGCACCTCCATATCCTGCAGCCCCATGCACAGCTGCCACATACTGCACCTCCATATCCTGCAGCCCCATGACAGCTGCCACATACTGCACCTCCATATCCTGCAGCCCCATGAACAGCTGCCACATACTGCACCTCCATATCCTGCAGCCCCATGAACAGCTGCCACATACTGCACCTCCATATCCTGCAGCCCCATGAACAGCTGCCACATACTGCACCTCCATATCCTGCAGCCCCATGAACAGCTGCCACATACTGCACCTCCATATCCTGCAGCCCCATGCACAGCTGCCACATACTGCACCTCCATATCCTGCAGCCCCATGAACAGCTGCCACATACTGCACCTCCATATCCTGCAGCCCCATGAACAGCTGCCACATACTGCACCTCCATATCCTGCAGCCCCATGCACAGCTGCCACATACTGCACCTCCATATCCTGCAGCCCCATGCACAGCTGCCACATACTGCACCTCCATATCCTGCAGCCCCATGAACAGCTGCCACATACTGCACTCCCAAACGTTTATGGACTTATTCTGACCCCAGTTTTAGAAGTAATGTGTTGGAAGCTAACAGCTAAGGTAAGCAGCTAGCTCAGACTAGAATCTTGGCATTTAGTCTCGAGCGGTGCCATTTGTGACTCTTAAAGACACACATTAACATGAATCAGATTGAAGTTTGGGATCTGGTCAGGGGTTAGGGTTAGGCTAGCTTACTGCAGGGCGAAACACCAAGATTTTAGAAAACGTCGCAAATATGAAGTGTTAGCGTCCTCAGAGCTTCTTGTGCGCTTTCGGTTACATGAAAATCTGCAGCATGAATTCAACTGCGTTCTCTGTATGTACAACATTTTTATTTCTCAAATGTAGCTGGTGCTGCGAATAAACGGGTGCACTCAAACACCCGAGATTTGGCAGTACAAAAGGTGTGTGTTTCAACTGAAAATCAGGCAGCCTAGCTTTAATGAAGGTTTTTTATGAATCCAGACTCTTAAATATAGCGCTTAGAAAAATCAATGACTCTTCCGGCCCCTGGAAAAGCCATGTTCCAGCTTCTTCCCTCTGGCAGAAGATATCGTTGGCTGCAGGACATCTGGATATGCTAACATGCTAACAGCTTCTTTCAGCTGTTGTCAGTCTGAACGAAGCACTTTAATGGTGTTCACTGGTATTGAATCTGTTTTTGTGGATTGGTTTGTACTTGTCTGGTTCACACTGGGGACTTGTGCACATGTATTCCAATGTGGTTTTACTGCAAAAGGGAAAATAACCTGAACTTGAATCCAATTTAAAGGCCTTAAAATGAGCACCACTACTTTGTTATATTGATATAGAGAGACCAGAGTGAGACCAGAGAGAGACCAGAGTGAGACCAGAGTGAGACCAGAGAGAGACCAGAGAGAGACCAGAGAGAGACCAGAGAGAGACCAGAGAGAGACCAGAGTGAGACCAGAGAGAGACCAGAGAGAGACCAGAGAGAGACCAGAGTGAGACCAGAGAGAGACCAGAGAGAGACCAGAGAGAGACCAGAGAGAGACCAGAGAGAGACCAGAGTGAGACCAGAGAGAGACCAGAGAGAGACCAGAGAGAGACCAGAGTGAGACCAGAGAGAGACCAGAGAGAGACCAGAGTGAGACCAGAGAGAGACCAGAGAGAGACCAGAGAGAGACCAGAGTGAGACCAGAGAGAGACCAGAGAGAGACCAGAGAGAGACCAGAGAGAGACCAGAGTGAGACCAGAGAGAGACCAGAGAGAGACCAGAGTGAGACCAGAGTGAGACCAGAGTGAGACCAGAGAGAGACCAGAGAGAGACCAGAGAGAGACCAGAGAGAGACCAGAGAGAGACCAGAGAGAGACCACTACTTTGTTATATTGATATGTCACTAATATACTGCGATAATTATAAAATATGGAGGTAATACGTGCTTGAATCAAGTTTTTTCTTAATCAGAGTTAATTCTGACTGTGTTAAAACAATTCCAAGGGAGACATTTCTTGTATCTTTTTTAATCAAGATCATTTTGCGTTGTCCCGTTGGTAAATCTTGTTTTAAGGCCGAGTCAGAACGTGCTCAAAATTAAGAATCATTTAACAAAATCTTAGACTTCGGGGGTAAAGCGGGAGCATTATTGCACCGTTACTATGTGCTTCGTCCAACGCTGCGGATCTAACATTTTGTGCGTTTTCAGTCATTCACAGCTGATGATGACGAGGAGCTGGTGTCGTGTCCGCAACAAAAACTACAGTTAAATATTAAAAACCAAACAACTGAGCTAAGCCTCTTCACAGAACAAAACCTCGTCTTCTTCTGCCGTGAGCAAAGCAAACGAATCCAGAGGTCATTTCCCCCGAATTATACCTTAATAAAAACTAAAAAAAAGTGCAAAAAAAACAACATACAAAAAGGGACAGTATGTGATATGGACTCGTTGTGGTCTGTCGTTACAATCAGACCCCGTCACAGCTGCTCAACACTGATCACAGATGCAATCCACCTGCTGGGGCTAGGAATGGTAAAAAACCCAAACCCATAGATACAACGCTAATTTTCATGTGCAGTCCCTCGGCAGTTACAGAAACAAGTTTATTACTGCTTATTTTAGGATCTGCTGTCGTTTCAAACAGATGTGTGCGGGATAATTATATACTATATATTGAATAACACAATTTACAAAGAGCCAAAAACAGATACATGTCAGCTATGGAACAGACAGCCTCATTCTGCTCTGATTGGATATCACTGTAGAAGAAGTGCGGTCACCTTTTTGTCAACGGCAGAAGTCTGTGTGTGAACAGAAAATCAAGTCCCCTAGCTTTAATTAAAGTTATTTACAAATCCAGACTATATCAAGCTCTTCAAATAACCAATGACACTTCTGACCCCAGGTAAAGCTTGTTCCAGCTTCTTCCCTCTGGCAGAGCAGGGAAGCAGCATGTGACCTGTGATCTGTTGTTGCTGTAATTTTAACTGTAAATATGACGTACTGTCCCTTTAAGTCAAATAGTAAACACTGAAAAGATAATTGGAATATGTTGATATCAGTCTGTCTTAAAACCAGGACAGATGCGATGGCTTCAGTCATGTGACGCTGGAGACGGGGAGGAAGCAAGACATCTCCGGGTCGTTCCACGTTCTCACTCTCGTCTATTGAGAACTGTGGCAAATGACCCAAAAGGAGGAGACCGCGGGCAGAAAGGGTCTCGGGTTTGTCAGAAGAAAATGAATGGATCATTGCAAGTTTGATCATAATCTTTCGTTCTACTTTGGGCTGAATCCAACATGATTGATTGTCAGAGTTTTCTCCTGCTTAAGTGAAAGTCTAAATGATTCTACTCTAAAGTTATCACTTGTCGGCCTGGTTCAGAGACCAGCGAGAGGGACCAGAGTGAGACCAGAGTGAGACCAGAGAGAGACCAGAGTGAGACCAGAGAGAGACCAGAGAGAGACCAGAGTGAGACCAGAGTGAGACCAGAGTGAGACCAGAGAGAGACCAGAGTGAGACCAGAGTGAGACCAGAGTGAGACCAGAGAGAGACCAGAGAGAGACCAGAGAGAGAGACCAGAGAGAGAGACCAGAGAGAGAGACCAGAGTGAGACCAGAGTGAGACCAGAGAGAGACCAGAGAGAGGCCAGAGAGAGGCCAGAGAGAGAGACCAGAGAGAGACCAGAGAGAGACCAGAGAGAGAGACCAGAGAGAGAGACCAGAGAGAGAGACCAGAGAGAGAGACCAGAGAGAGACCAGAGAGAGACCAGAGTGAGACCAGAGTGAGACCAGAGTGAGACCAGAGAGAGACCAGAGAGAGACCAGAGAGAGACCAGAGTGAGACCAGAGAGAGAGACCAGAGAGAGAGACCAGAGAGAGACCAGAGAGAGACCAGAGAGAGACCAGAGTGAGACCAGAGTGAGACCAGAGAGAGACCAGAGAGAGACCAGAGAGAGAGACCAGAGAGAGACCAGAGTGAGACCAGAGTGAGACCAGAGAGAGACCAGAGTGAGACCAGAGTGAGACCAGAGAGAGTGAAATTAAAGAGACCAGAGAGACAAAAGAGACCAGTGAGAGGGACTGGAAAGCGAGAAAGACTAGAGACCAGAGAGAGAGAGACCAGAGAGAGACAAGAGAGACCAGAGAGAGAGAGAGACCAGAGTGAGAGAGACCAGAGAGAGAGAGACCAGAGAGAGACAAGAGACCAGAGAGAGAGAGACCAGAGTGAGAGAGACCAGAGAGAGAGAGACCAGAGTGAGAGAGACCAGAGAGAGACCAGAGAGAGAGACCAGAGTGAGAGAGACCAGAGTGAGACCAGAGAGAGACCAGAGAGACCAGAGAGATACAAGAGAGACCAGAGAGAGAGACCAGAGAGAGAGAGACCAGTGAGAGAGAGAGAGACCATAGAGACCAGAGAAAGAGACAATAGAGACCAGTGGGATGGACCGGAAAGAGATAGACTTGAGACCAGAGAGAGAGACCAGAGAGACTGAACCATACCAGTTCCAGTTAAAGTGAACCAGACCAGATGGTGTGAACACATCTTTCGCTTTGATAGAAACCCTCCTGATGACCATGGATGCTTCTGTCCATTACCAGATGCATCACTCCGATGGTGTCTAAACTATTGACGTGTAGAATGACTAGAATCTCCAAGCCCTTAAAGTGACGGCACAGGAGCCTACTGTTCTGACATGGTTCAGATCAGAAGAACCGTCTGAACCTTTGGACCTGAGACAAATATTGTTATAGTGAGTGATCTCAAAAATCATTATAAAGAGGATGAATTTGATCTGATTTCAAAGAGAGATGGAGAGAGAATGTTGTTGATAAGAGTACTATAGCCCTGTTTCCACCTACCCTACCCTACCCTACCTCTAATCTACTCTACCCTACTTTACTCAACCCCTAATCTACCATACCCTACCCCTAATCTAATCTACCCTACCCAACCCCTAATCTACTCTACCCTACACAACCCCTAATCTAAACTACCCTACACAACCCCTAATCTAAACTACCCTAATCTACTCTACCCTACACAACCCCTAATCTAAACTACCCTACCCTACTCTACCCTACACAACCCCTAATCTAAACTACCCTACCCTACCCAACCCCTAATCTACTCTACCCTACTTTACCCTCCCTTACCCATAATCTACTCCACCCTACCCTACCCTACCCCATTTCCTCTGGTCCTGTTTAACCTGTAGCAGATCCTTCTTTAGTCCCTCTCGGTCCTGGTTCTATCTGATTGGTCAGACTGCTGCTGGAAGCCATGGCTACCAAGGAATATCCCCGGATACTGGTTTGTGGTGGGCAGGTTGGGAGAACACGGTACCAGTTACTAGGTTTTAAAAGCAACCAGGTGGAGTAGGGTAGAGTAGAGTAGGGTAGAGTAGAGTAGGGTAGAGTAGAGTAGAGTAGGGTAGGGTAGAGTAGAGTAGGGTAGAGTAGGGTAGGGTAGAGTAGAGTAGAGTAGGGTAGGGTAGAGTAGGGTAGGGTAGAGTAGGGTAGGGTAGGGTAGAGTAGAGTAGGGTAGGGTAGAGTAGGGTAGGGTAGAGTAGGGTAGAGTAGAGTAGGGTAGAGTAGAGTAGGGTAGAGTAGGGTAGGGTAGAGTAGGGTAGAGTAGAGTAGGGTAGAGTAGAGTAGAGTAGAGTAGGGTAGGGTAGAGTAGGGTAGGGTAGAGTAGGGTAGAGTAGAGTAGGGTAGGGTAGGGTAGAGTATAGGGGTGCAACGGTTTGAAAAAAATCACGGTTCGGTTCGTACCTCGGTTCATTTTTCAAAAAAAAAGTGTTGTCTTTTTAATAAACACAGCTCATGTGGACTCGGCACCTGCTCTGACTGCCCCCCCCCCCCCCCTGACCTAGAAATGAATTAAGGGGAAGGAAATGGATGGATGGATGGATGGAATATTCCATCCATCCAATTATGTCTATTTAACATAATTAATGAAAAACAACACAAAGTGCAACATAAGAAGGCACTTTATGAGGATATTTACTCTCATATATTACACCACCTTCCTGATTCTCCCAAGGAGGGGGTCCATTCTGGGCCCAGCCTCATTCACTGCATTTATTTAATTTTTGGCATTATCAGTTGTGACTGGGATATTAGTACTGGGCCTTTGTCTTCCATTCCTCCGCTGCTGTGTCAGTACCTGCGCTGTGTGACAGTGTGACTGTCGTAGAGGGGGCGTGTCTGCAGCGCCAGACTTTTCATCTCCCAGTCTGCGGTGATGAAGTGAGCGGTTCCGCTCATGGATCTATTATAGGTTCCGCGGGACGTCCAAGCGTCAGTCGTGAGCGCAGCTGAGGATGCGCGGGAGAGTTGACTTTAGCCCGGTCTGACTGTGCGTAAAGGAGCTGCTTAAATGCCGCGACAATAAGCGGTCGTTGACACGCTTTTTTCACTCATGTCTTTCTTGTGCCACAGTGCTTACACATCGTGACAGTTTTGTCGAATATTAATTATCAGTGTAGTTACAGTGAAGCCAAAATGCTCTCATACTGGGGATTTAAATGACGCGTGGCTTTCAAGCATCTCCGTTCCTCCGCTCGCAATGACCACGCTGTGTGTGGACTGAATAACGTGCGCACAACTTTTTTTTCATAAATCAAACCGCGGATCACGTCTGTACCGAACCGAAGACGTTGAACCGAACGGATCACGGATCAGTGATGAACCGTTGCACCTCTAGTAGAGTAGAGTAGGGTAGAGTAGGGTAGGGTAGGGTAGAGTGGGGTAGGGTAGAGTGGGAGGCTGGTGGAAACAAGGCTTATGTATGGGTTGATTTTTTTTTATTTTGTGTGTTTTTTGCATTGCTGGTCTTTCTCGTTTTAAGTTTAATCTCAGACAGATCAGTTTTGTAAAAAAAAAAAGAAAAAAAAAAGAAGCCACCAGAGCGAGGATTCGGGAAAGAAACTGCAAACCGCGAGTGCAAACACATTTTTCTTCAAGTCACAAATGAACAAACATGGCTTTTCCATTCAGCAAAAGATAAATTAACAAAATGGGAACAAAATACAGCAAAATGCATCCGACAAAACAGATCAAAAATAAGGCCAAACACCACACTGCATCTTGTCCTTTTAGATCAACAAGAAACAAGTCAATATTTGAGTATCTTGTAAAGTAACAGTATTTTGGGATTTGGGAATGTATATTTTTGTATATTATCGTATTTAAAGCAGTGTCATACCTGTTTGTTGATCGATTGCAGTGTATTGTGTGTGTTTGTGTAGAAAGGGTGAGAGGGGGTTGGGAAAAAACACACGCGTCCGCTTCATCCAACCCCCTTTCAAACCAGTATTGGTGAAAAGATATGGGGATTTTGTGTTGTACAGGTTTGAAATCAATCTAAACTAAACCATATTCTAGGTCTGGATTCTAACACAGGCCTGGACTTCTGCTTTTTCCATTGTTAAATAATGATAATAATTGATAATATTGTGGCTTGTGCTCAATGTAAATGATCACAGCAGTGGTCTCCAACCGCTTTTGGTCGGACAGCAACAGAGAGCAGGAGAAATAGCAAGTCGTGATTCAATTATATTATACCTAAAGCAACTAATGGAGATCACAGATGTAAAATACCATGATTATAAACCTTATATTTGGACATTTATTAGCTCTCTATGCACCAATGGCTCCTATGTGTTTGTTAGTATTGCATTTCCCGTGATCCGTTTTGATTCTCTGATCTGTTGTTGAGGAATCGACAGCTGGTGTGCACTAGGGAGATACAAAAATAGATTGAACGGAGTTGAAATATGGCCCTAAATTTGCAAAACGTTTAGAGTAAAACTAGATTTGAATAGAGTTAAAACCGCAGGTATATTCTTGAATCCTTTTGGGAGCCGCAGGTTGGAGACCCCCGCTCTGGTTATAACTAATAACATTGTGTTTTGTGGACGATGAAACGAGACTGAGACAGAGGTTGAAGGTTTTTAACAGGATGGAGTGTGCTGGACCAGTGCTTGGCTTTTCATCGAGATTTCATTGAGAATAAAACGGTATAAAGAGGGATATATTACTAAATAGTGTTAGACGTTGGTGGAGATCTTATACCTGGGGGCCATGTTATTGTGGAACCACATAAAACTAAAGATCACGCCCATGGTCTTGGGTATGCGCTCGTTGTAGGCGAATGTCATGGCTTCGTGCAGAGGGATCTTCACCACCTCGATGAGCTCTCCCTCCTTGGGCTCTCCTCCTCCAGCGCTCACACGGTTATCGTCGGAGACCTCGGCGTAGAACATGGTCTGTTTGGAGCCGGTTACTCCCACGCCCGACCTGAGGGACACGAGGCGAGGTTAGGGTTAGGGCCGTGGTTGGTTTTCGTTCCGCTGTTCGCCCTCCGGGGTTTGTGTGTGCGGGTCCCGAGGGGGTTTTGAGACCGACTGTGGGCGTGAGGACCGTCTCCGTATCTGTTGTTTTTCTCACCGCTACGAAACTGGGGAAACTGCTCGGTGAACTAGAGCCTGGTTCAGATCAGACTGTGTGAAGATGAGGGATGCTAACGGGGCTAGCTCGATGAAGGCATGTGATACTGCTGTACATGAGAGAGACCAGAGAGACAGGAGACACTAGAGAGACACTAGAGAGACTAGAGAAAGAGACCAGAGAGGGACCAGAGAGAGACCAGCGAGAGAGACCAGAGAAAAACACCAGAGAGAGAAACCAGAGAAAGACCAGCGAGAAAAACTAGAGAGAAAAACCAGAGGAAGACCAGAGAGAGACCAGAGAGAGAGTAGAGAGACTAGAGAAAGAGAGCAGAGAGGGACCAGAGAGAGACCAGAGAGACACTAGAGAAAGAGACCAGAGAGACCAGAGGGACTAGAGGAAGAAGGGACCAGAGAGAGAAACCAGAGAGAAACCAGCGAGATAAACCAGAGAGAGAAATCAGAGACTAGAGAAAGACACCAGAGAGAGAAACCAGAGAGACCAGCGAGAGAAACCAGAGAGAGAAACCAGAGAGAGACTAGAGAAAGACATCAGAGAGAGACCAGAGAGAAACCAGAGAGAGAGACTAGAGAGAGAGACCAGAGAGAGAGACTAGAGAGACCAGAGAAAGACCAGAGAGAGAACAGAGAAGAGACCAGAAAGAGACTGGAGAAAGAGAACAGAGCGAGAGCAGAGACGAGAGACTAGAGAAAGAGACCAGAGAGAGACCAGAAAGAGACTAGAGAAAGAGACCAGAGAGACTAGAGAAAGAACAGAGACAAGAGACCAGATAGAGACCAGAGAGACCAGAGAGTGACCAGAGAGAGAGACTAGAGAGAGAACAGAGAGAGAGACTAGAGAGAGACCCTGTGCTCCTCAGTCGGCGTTGGTTCCTATGGCCCTAACATTCTGTGATGCTTCAGTTTAAAAGCTCACAGCCTCATGTCGTAGTCTCCGATTACAAACAGCCGTGTTTCCAGCCCCAACCCTCGGCTCATACGGGGCATCAGGAGTAAAGTGACACCGGTATTTAATGGACGGATCCCGCACAAAACAGTGCTCGGAGACGACACCAACACCAGCGGCGGAGGCCAGGGAGTCAAATCAAAGCAGAGCACGGAAGCACATCACACATCTGTGCAGGTGGGGGTGGGAGGGGGGAGGTGGGGGCGGTTGGGGCAGGTGAGGGCGGGTGAGGGCGGGTGGGGCAGGGATCAATGGGGGCAGACACTGTAACTTAGTGCAGAGTTTATGCAGGTGATAATAACACTGACAGAGACGGATGGTTCTCAGGGGCAGAGACACAGGGCCTTTACAGAGACTGCTCACAAATATGAGAGACCAGAGAGAGAGACCAGAGAGAGACCAGAGAGAGAGAGACCAGAGAGAGACCAGAGAGAGAGACCAGAGAGAGACCAGAGAGAGAGACCAGACGAGAGAGACCAGAGAGAGACCAGAGAGAGACCAGAGAGAGACCAGAGAGAGAGAGACCAGAGAGAGAGACCAGAGAGAGAGACCAGAGAGAGAGACCAGAGAGAGACCAGAGAGAGACCAGAGAGAGAGACCAGAGAGAGAGACCAGAGAGAGAGACCAGAGACTAGAAAGAGACTTGAGAAAGACCTGAGAGAGAGAGACCAGAGAGAGAGACCAGAGAGAGAGACCAGAGAGATAGACCAGAGAGATAGACCAGAGAGATAGACCAGAGAGATAGACCAGAGAGATAGACCAGAGAGATAGACCAGAGAGATAGACCAGGGAGAGGGACCAGGGAGAGGGACCAGGGAGAGAGACCAAGCAGAGGGACCAGGGAGAGGGACCAAGCAGAGGGACCAGGGAGAGGGACCAGGGAGAGGGACCAGGGAGAGGGACCAGGGAGAGGGACCAGGGAGAGGGACCAGGGAGAGGGACCAGGGAGAGAGAAAGTCCTCTGAACAAAATCCCACCTGTAGGACGTGATCTTCTTGAGTTTCGCTGCTGGGATGTCGTAGCCGCACTCCTCCAGAACCTCTTGTCGGGCGATCTCCTCCAGGGACAGCTGTGGTTTGTCCACGAGGCCGGCACAGAGCTCGTAGGTGACCCCCGCACAGGCAGGGGGCCACTCAGAGCTGCCCTCCCCAGCACTGGACGCCGCCTCCTGGGCTTCGGACGCCTCGGCAGCCCCTTCTTCCTTCTTCTCTGATGCTGCGGCTGCGGCAGCTGCTGCTGCTTTAGCCGACTGGGACTTGCCTCTTTCCCATTCGCACATGTAGACGGCTGCAGCGGGAGAAGGTGAACCAGGTTTATACGTTTCACTCAACATCCACCAAAAACACTTTCAATTCTTATCAATATAAATATGAACTTAATCGCCACAGCAGTCGTTTGAGGACTTGAAGAGCAGAGAGAAGGACCAGATAGAGGCTAAAGAGAAGGACCAGAGAGAGACCAGAGAGAAACCAGAGAGAGACCAAAGAGAAAGACCAGAGAAAGATCAAAGAGAAGGAACAGAGAGAAGAACCAGGGAGAGACCAGAGAGAAACAAGGGAGAGAGAGATCAGAGAGAAAGTCCTCTGCACTAATCACTGCGTTGCACATAAGCCACACAATCTTTCTTCTGACTTTAAATAAATCTAACTGTCATATTTTACTAGCGCTATAAATGATCTTGTATATGATTGGAGTTTACCCATGGGGCACGAGAAGCACACTGTAAAACTAAAAAAGAAAAATTCACACCAAAATCCACAAAAGGTGAACCGTGTTAAAGCGAGGGACCACTGTATAATATCATTCTGTTTTCATACAATGCAACAATTCGACTGCGAAACCAAGAGAAATGGATGAACTCCTCACTGACGGGTTAAGTCTTTTGTTGGGAGACGCCAGGGACCTCACTCTGGCTAAATACCAGGAAGTCTGGCTATTGATGCACGTTCTCCCACCTCTTTTTCCCTTCACTGTGGATAATAAACATTTCTTTAAGCACAAAATGGACAATGGCGTTCATAAAAGATGTGTGAAAGAATGCATTGTGACACACTTGTTCCTGTTAAAAACCGTTGGGGACACGCCGGGAATTTACTGCAGGCTAAAAACAGACGATGTTTTTAGAGAAAATGAACAAATAAATTCAAAATGCTTCTTCCTGATTGATTACATTCACGTCATATGGTTTTATATAAGATCATAACAGACTGAGGAAGGACTTGACCAGAGAGAGAATAGAGAGAGACCAGAGAGACCAGAGAGAGAGAGTAGAGAAGAGAGAGAGACAAGAGACCAAAGAGAGACCAGAGAGAAAGACTAGAGAGAAACCAGAGAGACCAGAGACCAGAGAGAGACCAAAGAGAGACCAGAGAGAGACCAGAGACCAGAGAGAGACCACAGAAATACCACAGAGATAGACTAGAGAGAGACCAAAGAGAGACCAAAGAGACCAGAGAGAGACCAGAGAGAGACCAAAGAGAAACCACAGAGACCAGAGAGAGACCAAAGAGAGACCAGAGAGAGAGACCAGAGACCAAAGAGAGAAACCAGAGAGACCAGAGAGAGAGACCAGAGAGAGAGACCAGAGAGAGACCAGAGTGTATTGATCCGCAAAACACTTCCATTCATTTGTTTTTAAACAGATAAATCTTAACTATTGTGTTATTTAAAATTGATTGATACAACGCTTCTCATCGATTCCTTCCCTTTGTCCACAGCTGCGTCACACTACTATAGCCACAGCTGCCCTAGGACAGCTTTAGATTCAATAGAAATGCAGAGAAGGAGAGACGTACCTGGACGAAACTGTTTGACGAGGACAAAACAGTGTGAGGTGGTGTTGAAGATCAGGACTGATACACTGGAAAGAGAGGGGCAGCGTTAATGAGGTCATCACAATAATAATAAGGCAAGTTTATTTCTATAGCACAGTTCATCCACAAGGCAACATCAACAACTTTTTAACACCTAGAAAATAAATTGTCCAAAGTGGAGATTATTGTCCTGCATGTGTCCCCAGTGTTAGACTCTAACAGCTGCTCACAGGTCTCTCCGAACAAGCTCGGAAACAGCTGCAGTTTATTCAAAACACTGCAGCTCGAGTCCCGACTAGAACCAGGAAGTACCATCACATTAGTCCAGGTCTCAGGTCTCTGCTCCTGTGGCTCAGAGATTATACTACAGTAAAGCAGCTGTTTGTTACAAGTCTCTCCACGGCCACAGGGACTGGTCTCCTGCTGGTCCCAGAGTCAGGACTAAACATGGGGAGACAGCATTTCAGATTTAAGTAGCTAAAATCTGGAACAGTCTTCCTAAAAATATGAGACAGGCTTCTTCTCTGACGATGTTCAAATCCAGGTTAAAACAGTTCTGTTTTGCTGCTACAACTGAAGGATTTTATCTTTTTCATGATTGTGATTATTGATTGACTGCGGAACCTTCCGCAGTCAACCATTGGTTTTGTATTTCTTTATTCCGTCATTTTTTTTGACACGTTTCACAGCTTTCACATTTTCAACAATTTCCACAAGTTATACATCAAAACGTTCCACATGTTTGGGAGATTATTGCTATTACTTTTGGGACTTCAGCGATTTCCGGTTTTTCCGCAATCGGACAAAAATCTGCATTGAGAATTCTGCAATGCATTTTAATAGGCCCATGCATTTTAATAGGACTTCAGCTCTTTCAGACATTTCTACAGTTTCAATGATTCAACAGTTTCAAGGATTCAACAGTTTCAAGGATTTCAGCAGTTTCAAGATTTCAAGAGTTTCAAGGACTTCAACAGTTTCAAGGACTTCAGCAGTTTCAAGGACTTCAGCAGTTTCAAGGACTTCAGCAGTTTCAAGGACTTCAGTGTAATCATGCAACCTAATAGGGATTTTTCCATGTAAACCAGTATAATGCAACTTAATAGGGATTTTTCCATGTAAACCAGTATAATGCAACTTAATAGGGTTTTTTCATGTAAACCAGTATAATGCAACTTAATAGGGTTTTTTTTCATGTAAACCAGTATAATGCAACTTAATGGGGATTTTTCCATGTAAACCAGTATAATGCAACTTAATAGGGGTTTTTACATGTAAACCAGTATAATGCAACTTAATAGGGTTTTTTCCATGTAAACCAGTATAATGCAACTTAATAGGGTTTTTTCCATGTAAACCAGTACAATGCAACTTAATAGGGATTTTTCCATGTAAACCAGTATAATGCAACTTAATGGGGATTTTTCCATGTAAACCAGTATAATGCAACTTAATGGGGATTTTTCCATGTAAACCAGTACAATGCAACTTAATAGGGATTTTTCCATGTAAACCAGTATAATGCAACTTAATAGGGATTTTTCCATGTAAACCAGTATAATGCAACTTAATGGGGATTTTTCCATGTAAACCAGTATTATGCAACTTAATAGGGATTTTTCCATGTAAACCAGTATAATGCAACTTAATAGGGTTTTTTTCATGTAAACCAGTATAATGCAACTTAATAGGGTTTTTACATGTAAACCAGTATAATGGAACTTAATAGGGGTTTTTACATGTAAACCAGTATAATGGAACTTAATAGGGGTTTTTACATGTAAACCAGTATAATGCAACTTAATAAGGATTTTTACATGTAAACCACTATAATGTAACCTAATAGGGGTTTTTACATGTAAACCAGTATAAAGCAACTTAATAGGGATTTGTACATGTAAACCAGTATAATGCAACCTAATAGGGATTTTTCCATGTAAACCAGTATAATGCAACTTAATAGGGATTTTTCCATGTAAACCAGTATAATGCAACTTAATAGGGATTTTTCCATGTAAACCAGTATAATGCAACTTAATAGGGATTTTTCCATGTAAACCAGTATAATGCAACTTAATAGGGATTTTTCCATGTAAACCAGTATAATGCAACTTAATAGGGATTTTTCCATGTAAACCAGTATGTGATGTTAATGCTTTGTGTCACTTTAAGCTTCCTTGTGTGTGAACTGTGCTACACCAATAACCTTGCCTCGCCTGGTCCATGTGCTGAGTGCAGCTGTGAATGAGGGACTTGGGAAAGAGGAAGTGTCTGCAGCCGCAGGAAGCCCAGCCCGGCTTTCCCATGAACGCCGGGAACCAGGAAGTGCACATTACCACAGCTGATAACTACGGCCACTTTAGATATTTACAGTACAATAGCTTTTCTCTACGGACTGTTTGTTTTATCAGACGTCTGATTGTGACACTCGCAGGTACAGCAGGACCAGCACCAAGGCTTATTAGGATCATTCAAAGTCCACTGATCCAAACATCTGACCCCTTTCAGACCTTGAACTTGTCTGTGTTATGTGAATGTATATTTTAGAGTAGATTGTAAATAGGGCTGTCAAACAATTAACATTTTTAATCGAGTTAATTACAGCTTAAAAATGAATTAATCATAATTAATCGCATTTCAAACTATCGGCAAAATTATGCCATATTTTTCTGTCAATGGTTGTTTGAATGGAAAGATAAATGATGACTTAGTGTACATATGTACTGTATTTGTTTATTAGAACAATAAATCCACATAAAATGGCATTAAAGTTATTAACACTGTCTTTCTGTAGTAGACTATTATTTCAAAGCCTCCTCTGTCTTCTTCTCTGTCTCATAAAGGCTGTGGATTCTCTTCATTATTGGAAAAACATTTGAAAAAAGTCTGAAATACACGTCATTAACTGTTTGATTTGCTCACATTTCACTATTGGGCACAACCAACATGCAATGGTAGTGCAAAGGAAAGTTAGGTACCCCAGCTTTAATTTAGCGCGTTTTGTTGCTCTTCAGGAGAAGATACGGCGGAGACGGACTGTTTCTTGCAGCGCTGTTTTTACAGTGAGCACTGATCTCGCCTGTGAGTGACCAGTGCTCACAGTGGTCCTGTGCGTGTGTATGGTCTTGGTACATGGTCACGTTACAGCTGCTCGCTCCCGTGTTGTTGAAAGCCGCTCACAGCTGCTGGACGCGGGAACCGCTGTCCAACGTGACGCTGCGGACTCCCATTCAAGTCACTTGGCACATGTGGTAAAAGCGACCAGAGAGAGACCAGAGAGAGACCAGAGAGAGACCAGAGAGAGACCAGAGAGAGACCAGAGAGAGACCAGAGAGAGACCAGAGAGAGACCAGAGAGAGACCAGAGAGAGACCAGAGAGAGACCAGAGAGAGACCAGAGAGAGACCAGAGAGAGACCAGCGAGACCAGAGAGAGACCAGAGAGAGACCAGAGAGAGACCAGAGAGAGACCAGAGAGAGACCAGAGAGAGACCAGAGAGAGACCAGCGAGACCAGAGAGAGACCAGAGAGAGACCAGAGAGAGACCAGAGAGAGACCAGAGAGAGACCAGCGAGACCAGAGAGAGACCAGAGAGAGACCAGAGAGAGACCAGAGAGAGACCAGAGAGAGACCAGAGAGAGACCAGAGAGAGACCAGAGAGAGACCAGAGAGAGACCAGAGAGAGACCAGCGAGACCAGAGAGAGACCAGAGAGAGACCAGAGAGAGACCAGAGATAGACCAGAGAGAGGCTGAGGTTTTCTGCTAAACTTTACCGATACTCCGACCCATCCCTGAAAACCATTGAGACAAAGTGTGCGTCTCCCGCTGTAACCCAGAGAAGGATGTGGGATTGTTTAAGAATAAAAGCCTTGCTCCCTCGAATGAAAGACTGTCTGGACGTAATGTTATGTCCTTAAGCCTCAGCGATACAGAAAGGATGTGAAAACCTCTTTGTGTTTCATAATGACAGACTTTTCTCACAATATCAAATGTGTTTATTACAAGGAGCTCATTCTGCTCTGTAAGAACAAGGACTTTCATATTGTGTGAAAGTTTTACGCCACAGATGATTTGTGATGGATACACAAACAGTGGGGCAAAAACAGCATTTAGTTCTCCACCATCTGTGCAAGTGCTGCCGCTTAAACAGAGGAGAGATGTGTGCGGTTTTAATGTTAGGTATCTGTGTTTTAGAGACGAAACAGGGGAAAAACAATCCAGAAAAAAAGGGTCTAGAGTGACCAGAGAGAGAGACCAGAGAGAGACCAGAGAGGCAGACCAGAGAGAGAGAGACCAGAGAGGCAGACCAGAGAGAGAGAGACCAGAGAGGGAGACCAGAGAGGCAGACCAGAGAGAGAGAGACCAGAGAGGGAGACCAGAGAGAGAGAGACCAGAGAGAGACCAGAGAGAGACCAGAGAGAGAGAGACCAGAGAGAGACCAGAGAGGGAGACCAGAGAGAGACCAGAGAGAGACCAGAGAGATGGAGACCAGAGATGGAGACCAGAGAGAGATCAGAGAGAGATCAGAGAGAGAGAGAGACCAGAGAGAGAGAGAGAGACCAGAGAGAGAGAGAGACCAGAGAGAGAGAGAGACCAGAGAGAGAGAGACACCAGAGAGAGAGAGAGACCAGAGAAAGAGAGAGACCAGAGCGTGAGTGAGACCAGAGAGTGAGTGAGACCAGAGACCAGAGAGAGACCAGAGAGAGACCAGAAAAAAGTATCTGCTTATAGTCCTGAAACTGAAAGTACAGTGCTTGCTGTGCCCACTCCATGTTGGAATCTCTCCATTAAAAAGCCTTTAAAAACAGTGGAGCAGCAGCTTTAAGAACACAGAGATGTGGGACTCAGGCCTGGGGTGATGTGTTCCCCTGAGGCCAGAGTCGCACTGTTCCACATCGTTACGGCTCTAATGGTTAAACCAAGAAGCTAACCGCACACGCAGGAGCCTTCACGGGCCGTTTAGCCGGCTCCTCCACCAGGGGGTCCTGCACCAACACTGGGAGATCCGGCAACAAACACCACTTGGATCACTGCATGTTAGTCTTAAACGTCAGGTATTCTTTAAAAAATAATAAAAATCATTAATATGATTAAAATTTGGCAGCAGAAATATCGCCCTTTTAGACAGGATTGGCATCAGTCTGGCAAAATACACTGGAAATACTGGTACTTCAATGGATAAAACCTCTGTTCTAAATTATGAAATAACTTTAACACAACAAGTAAAACAGCAATTTTACCAAAACGATAAAGAGTTTGGGACAAATTGCCCTCAAAGATTCAGGTAAAACTTTCTGAGGCGTGTATTCAATCTAAACACTCTGGGGGCTCCTTCTATAAACATATGATGAATGAAGTGACAAAGGGTTGAAGATAAGATGTGCTTTATTTATCTCACAGAGGAGAAATGTACATGTCACATTTGGCATGGATAGAACACTCAGATTGTGCAAAAGGAGGAAATGTGTAAACATGTTACATGCGGGATATATATGTACAATAAAGTGACAATAATTATGTACAACAAAAGTGACAAGTGTCAATTGGAAACAGTGTCAATAGTAGTGCAGGTTTTCACACAGTGATCATTTAAAGTGACTTATTGTACAGCTTTTTCAAGCTTTTGAAAAGGTCGCCAGAGTTGCATAATGAATTGCATGCCAGAAACATTTTAGCATTTTAATGCAATTTGTGTCACAATCAGCAAATCAGAAACACAAAAAGGACTAAAGCTAAGCACAAAAACACATGGATGGAATTGGAACTCTTGATTTTGGAGCAGCAGGTTGGTCACATCACATAAACAAAAGAAACATACAGAAGACACACAAAACTTGTACAAACCACACACGCCTGTACCATCACCTCTTCACTGCAAGTGAAGAAAAAATGTCAAAATTGGTTGAAATTCTTTCTGCCCGGCAGCACATTCTGCCTTGAAACGAGATTTTGATCTAGTTTAAAAAAGACACAAGAAAAGTCTCCCTTGGAATGAGAAAAAAAAGCAGCAGTTCTGAAAATAAGACTAAACTGCTTTGTCCATTGGCAAAACTTGTTTCAACACAGTCACAACGTGATCGAATTAAGATAAATAACAGATGCTGCAAAAAGTGATAAAATATTGGGTAATAATTGCTTTTATTGAGTGTTTTTGAACAGTTTATGGACCGAGGCACAAGAGTTCCTCTTTCAACTCTAAATGAAATGTGAAGGCATCATTCATTCACACCTTAGTACAGTTACAGGCAGGATTGTTCTCTGGAGGAAAATGAGCTTTAAAATGAGGTACAAATGGCAGAGCTCGACATTAACGGTTGTTCGTTCCCCGGAGAAAGATTTGGGACGGACAAGTGCGCCGTCTTGGACAGTTTCCCGATCGGACAAGTGCAGTATTACTTTAACCCATTCAGGCCGGGAACGCATTACGGAACCCAAGTCTGCTTATCTTTGTTGAGCAATTCTATTCATTGGTAAATTCTCTGGACCACGGATCCGCGTACGTACTGGAACAGGATTCACATCCTCCGCTTTGTAATGACAGTGGCTCACTTTGACAACAGCGAACGCAGCTGTAACAGGTCATAATGTGCGGACCATAGACGCGTGATCAGAACCATCCCCAGCTTGTTGCAAGTGCGGGTCTCCCGGGTCTCCTACTAAAGCGTAAACAAAACTCACAAAAATAAAAGATAGGGTGCCTAATTTTTTTCTTGCATTAACAATGCATTTTATTTGTGCATAAAAGAAAAATGTTGTGAAAAAAATCTAACAGAACACACCACAGCAGGCGTCTTGCTTTTATTTTGCAGACTTAAGATCCCTGTTTCACACAGTTAGTGCCACTTTTGGCCAAACTCTTGTTAGCTCACTGCATTGGGAAACATTTGGGAAAGTAAAATATGAGTGGTGCATGCCCAAAGGACGAGTGGCTGACAAAGCTTAATGTCAAGGCCTGCATGGCGTGCTAGCCCTTTCAATGTGAACGTCATAATAAAACATACGCTGTACGCTGCAGATACTGCTGCCCAGGAGTTGAATTGTATTTTACACACACAAAGGTACAACAAAGATACACAATTCACATTCCCGTATCTACACAATCTCTTTACACTGAACGGTGTTACTTCCTCTGGTCTCATCTGTCTTTCACATTTTTGTCCGTTCGCTTCCGCAACGCGACAAGCCCTGGACGTCCAAATAAAACCCGCTGAGAAGAAAACGTCATGGGCACTTGAACAAAAATGCAAAACATGTCGTGGTTCTACAGAAGGAGGCAGATGTGGCAGATGTGGCAGAACAGTGGCTGCCTCTGGGACAGTCCCGGTGGAAGCTGCTGCTAAAGAGCCGTGCTTTACTGCCTTTGTCTCCGTGGGACTATCTTTCACTGTGGCCCCGGTTTGGGTCAGAGGCAGAGGAGAGAGGGCCCTAATGACGGGAGCCTCCTCTGAGGGCACATGGGAAGCACTTTTTTTACTACAGATCGACCGATATGAGTTTTCTGAGGCCAAGACAAGTTTTTCAATACAGTTTTCTATACGATTAACAGTGTTGTGTTGTTACCTGTCGTGGGTCCGCATGTAGTCCCAGGATTTCTTTGTGCCATTCTGGAAAACACACAAAAACAATGATTAAGATATTATAAAACGTTCATATTCAATTTATTCTCTTATACAGCCCTTTATAACAACAGTAGTTTATCTTAGGGGGACTTAAAAAAACGAGGAATTCTCCAACAACAGTTAAAACACAGGAAAGGCAAAGATAAAAACACAGAGCCATAAAGAGGCAGAGACCAATGTCCATAAATGTTTGTTTCTGCTCTGACCAACGAGGACATTACACACTCTCAGCCCCTGTGCTCCCCTCGGGTCAAAATAACCCGCCTCAAGGAGTAAAAGGTGAAGAAAAACATCCTAAATTAGGGTTTGTTAAGTTAGGAAAAATCAGCTAATAAAATCCATCCATCCATCCATCTTCTTCCCCATAATCCATTTCTGGGTCGGGGGGCAGCAGTCAGAGCTGCACCCAGAGCACCAGCCCCTCACTGATCCTCCTGCAGGTGGTGAGTCCACAGGAGCTGAGATCTTTCAGTGGGAGCTTCAGGCAAAGTAGGGTTAAGTGTCTTGCCCAAGGACACAACAACAGCAGTCATCAGTGGGAGCCGTGAAGTAGGTCTTATGGTGGGCTTGAACCCACGACCTTCAGGCCCAAAGGCCAATGCTCTACCAACTGAGCTACTGTCTAATTGGAATCACTGTGGGCGGCCTCTTGACCTGAGGAAGAGTTCAATTCAAATAACTTTATCCGTGATAGCCTGGTCGCACCACACCATAGTACATATTACATCTGGATTTGCTCCATTGACTCCGTTTACAGGTGGGAGGGGGGTTAACTCCCTTTGCAGATTGAAATGAATGGATCTGAGTTTACTGTGACGTATGTAATGCGCCCGAGTCTGTTGTTAGCATTTAGCATTTAGCATAGCTTTAGCCATCTCCTTTACCGCTAACGGAGCCCGTGGAGAGTAGCGCCACAATCTTTGCAGCGATTACATTTGCTAAACATTCCTCTTGCTCCGGCTTCAATTTCTTGATAGAACCAGACCGGATTACTTTACTATCACATCCTTCGCCAAACTACAACCGGCCCGTTCGACGCAAACTCTTGACGTCTCCCACAACTAACTGCAACACCCGCCTCCCGCGCTCGCTGGTAGGTCGGTTGAAATTCAACCGATTGTATTCGCTAACACAGGGACTAGACCCAGACGTTACATGCAGGACATGATGATTGAACGTTGAGTACGGATGGCTAAGGCCAGGCTATATCCGTGAGGAACTTCATTTGCAGACGGAGCACCAGTGGGGGAACGTAAAAACATAAAAACACAAGATACAAAATACAATAAATACAATAAAAGTGGGGCTCAGCTCAGTTTGAGTGGTAAGTTGTGATAATTTAATGTCACTTTAATACAGAGGAACCAGGATTCTTTATCTGTGGCAGATCACTCCCTCACTGTGGGCCTCCCCCAGGTTTCTCACTTTTTTTTTTTTTGTTCCTTGCCGATGCAGAAGGGTGAAGGACAGCGATAATGATCCAGGACACTCCACATTCAACATTAATGGACATTGGTTTCTTTCCCTTATGGACCAACGGCTCTATGTGTTTGTTATTGTTGTTATTATCTTGCGTTTTAACTGTTTGATTCTCTGATCTGTGTTGGAATATCGACTTCTTCAGTCCTCTGAGATAGTGTTGTGATTAAGGGCGATACAGACATAAACTGAATGGTGAATAATATAAGGTTCATATGTTATAAACAGACGAGAAAAGAACCCGAGATTACAAACAGACACATAAAAACCAACTCTGTGTCGGATGAAGTACAAGTTGCCGATTGCATTGAGAATCTCGATAAACAAAGCTCTCGTTGTTGCCAGTAGTTACACAACCTTTCCCCGCGATGCAGACAAGCTCAGTCTCCAGCATCAGTCAGACGCACGTAGGTGTTAAATCACATTTGATTTCTATAATGGAGGGATGCAGGATCCAATTAGCTGCTTCACAACCTGCTCAAGTTTGAACGTGTTAGAATGGATATCTCCGCCCCACCCAGCAGAAATATCCGCCAAACAAAGGCCTCGGAGCAAGTAAATATGACAAGCATTGAGTTTGCTGCAACACTAAACCAACCCAGTTTCTCCGACTATTCAAGCCCGGATGCACAAATGCAGATATGAGCGTTGGACAAAATGCTAAGATTGCTTTGTCTCGCTTGTTATTGAAGGCTGTCACGATGACCACGATTCCAAAGTGTGGGCTAAGCTTTGAGTAAAAGAGGAGAACCAATCCTTCTGGAGCAACACCAAACGGGTACATACACAAACAGAAGTACAGATGGATAAAGAACAAGAGGTGTTTGGGATCAGCTGGATTGTATTTCCTCTGACACGGTCGCGTACAAAGACCAATAGGTTGCGTTCACTGGTGCTATGTGTACTGGGTGGCATCTCTGGCCACCCCCCCCCCGACCAGACCCAGAAATGGATTTAGGGGTAGAGAAGATGGATGGATAGATGGTTGTGTATACGCTAAGTCGTATTTAAGTTGGGGGCAGGCGCCAGTGTAGAGAAATGTCGAAACCCTTTTCCCAGATCTTGGTTCAGATTCACAAAACCGCCATATACTGTATTTCTTACGACGGAAAGTTTAGAAAAGTCGAGAAAATCTCTCCTTGGCTTGCGGAAAGACAAAGAACAATGCTGGTTTGACAGTGGCTAAAAAAATGATTGCTGTTAGATGGAAACCTCCCCATTCTCATCGTCAATGGTTCTAACATTTATTGACATTGCTTATTTAGAACTATCTACTGCGCAAATTCACTATGCCAAGGAGAAAACAGTCAACCTGTGGAATCGAACGGTGTCTGACTTGAAAGAAACTCTTCTATAATGTGCAGTTGGGACTGAGATGCGACCCTCTCCCATTTGTATTTGAACCAACAATAACAAATATCATGATATAAACGGATGTACATTTGCACACGTATATTTTTTCTTGCCCTGGACCGGTATATGAATGTTGTTTGATTTTAAGTTCACATTTGTACAAAATTCAATAAACAATTGATAACAAAAAAGAAAAGTCTAGAAAAGTCCAAAATAAACGCAGAAGAAAAGCCCATATAAAAAAGGGAATCGGCCCAGCTAGCTTATGTTCAAATCGGCTTCGTCCGCATTAACGCAAGTGCCAATATGTTCGAGTAAAATATTAAAAATACATTCAAAAGCAGATCTAATTAACGGTTTCCCCCAATGCATTAAACTAACCCATATTTAACCCATTTCCTTCTCGTATGTCTTACAAATAGGAGGAAGTCGGCCTAGATATCGCTCGCCTGAGGACTCGTGGCCTTGATTCATATTTAGGCTACACCTCCTCTCTCTTCTCCCACCATCTCTTCAGGCATCTTCCTCCCCCCATCCCCTCCTCCTCCTTCCCCTTAGATCAAGTCCAGTACCACCCAGGAACCAGGAGGAGGAGGAGGAGGTGTTGGGTGTTGGGTGGTGAGGTGATTAAGCTAATTGCTGCGATAACATCCAAGAATATTAGCGTCTTTTTGTTGTGGCAACCTCTCGGCGAGCTGGGCCAAGACCTACTCCGACTCAGAGATCTCCATCCAGAACAAATCGACGCAGAAGCAATTTGTTAAGATGGAAAAAAGTGGTGGAGGAATCGCAGCAGTGATGGATGGAGCTGGCACAGGTCTCAGTAGTTTGTTTTATGAGATTAAATCTGAATCTTGTTTTGATGTGGGCTTTCAGCAGCGGTACGTCATGTAAGAACGCTTAAAAAACTCCTGTAGTGCCAAAAGTTTATAATCAGGAGATGACAGACGAGAAGCCGGCCCACTACAATCCATCTTTCTTGTGTCTCAATACCCTCTAACCAATCCAATATAATAAAAAAAACGTTTAACTTTAAAAACAACAACGCCATTACCAAACTGCTGCACATTTACAATAGATAATAACAAATAAATATCCTGAAGAGACTGGAGGCCCCTCTCGTTTGGTCTAACTATTCTTTGGGCTCAATATCTTGCCTAAAGACACAACAACAGTCTGGTACTTTACAGCCGCAGCCGCCCCACTGTCTCCCATCACAGTACTAGTCAGGTCCTACACTGCTTAGCAGAGGTCTGACAGGATCTGGCTTTCGCAAGCAAGTATGGCCATGGTTGGTCCATCCATACCATGGTTGGTCCATCCATACCATGGTTGGTCAATCCATACCATGGTTGGTCAATCCATACCATGGTTGGTCCATCCATACCATGGTTGGTCCATCCATACCATGGTTGGTCAATCCATACCATGGTTGGTCCATCCATACCATGGTTGGTCAATCCATACCATGGTTGGTCCATCCATACCATGGTTGGTCAATCCATACCATGGTTGGTCAATCCATACAATGGTTGGTCAATCCGAGCAGCTGGATTTTGTTCATAGAAATAAATACATATCAAACTCAGATTCAATAAAAGTCTAAATACCTTCATGATTCTAAAAACTCACAAAAACAATGAACAATAAAACTTTCCACAATTCTTGGTTTTCCTTTGTCTTGAGTCCAAACTTTACTTTCTCTACAGTTAATGTTAAAGAATGCAGTTTGAAGTGCATAGATCCGTTTTCTCCAACGTTCATACATTTTACACACATAAATAAATATATCTTGAATGCGTCCCAGCTTCACCCAGACTAGACCTCATTCGGCCTCCTGAGTTTAAGAGCCCTACTTTATAAATAGACCCGGACGAGCTGGAGGAAGTGTGTGTGGATAGGGAAGTCTGGGCGTCTCTGCTTAGACTGCTGCCCCCGCGACCCGGCAACGGATGAAGCGGAAGAAAACGGACGGACGGACTTTATAAATGTGGACTTTATTTATCCCCGTAGGGAGCTTTGTCCTCTGCATTTGACCCATTCTGCCACTGGGGCGACTGTCAGGAGCAGGAACCCATCTCCAGATACTGATGCTCGGCTTGGTCAGGACCGGATCTAGAGGATTTACCTACAGTGTCGTGCATGTTTTTTAG